TTAGTTTTAGGCACACTCAGGAGCAGCTGATCATCTGACCTGAGGGGGCGGACGGGTATATAGGGGTGTAGAAGCTCAGATAGGTAGGGTGGGGCAAGACCATTCAGGGATTTAAAAGCAAATAACATTTTTTTAAAATGGATCCTAAATTGAATAGGCAGCCAGTGGAGTGAGGCTAAAATGGGGGAAATGTGCTCATGTTTACGTGTGCCAGTTAAAAGACGTGCAGCAGCATTCTGTACCATCTGAAGACGGGCGATGGAGGACCCACTAACCCCCACATATAGTGCATTACAGTAATCCAGCCGAGTGGTAACAAAGGCGTGGATTACCGTTTCAAAGTGCTGCCTTGATAGAATTGGCTTTATTTTGGCCAGCTGCCTCAAATAGAAAAAGCTTGATTTGACAACAGCCTTGATCTGACTGTCAAACTTAAGCTCAGGGTCCACTTTAACCCCTAGGTTTGTGATGCTAGGTTTAATATACTGGGCCAAGGAACCCAGATCTACAGGGGGGATCCCTGTGGTGCCACCAAAAACCATCACTTCTGTCTTTTTATCATTAACAATTTCCCTTTATGTTGATCCATATCTGTAAATTGTAGGTTATTTTGCATCACAGTGTTATGTCAATACACCTTAACCCTGTTAGGATTTAGACCTTTTATAATTCTTGTCTTTGCTAAAAAGAAACATGCTGGACATAAGAGGAGCAGTCCACATCTGATCCTCATGTTCCGCCTCTTAAGTTTATTTTTAACCATGTCTGAGAAAATATCTTTCAAATTAAAGATGCACTATCAGCAAGTACCGGACATTTTGAGATACAGCAGTAAATACTACTCTGCTGGACTGATTAGGGACAAAATAACGTGGGAATATTTTAATATAAATGACACTATAGGATTTTCATCTAATGAAGCCATAGCTCTATCATCCCTCTCGTCCGTATCCAAATCCACAAAAAATCCAGGAGACCACTTGTAAAGTTAAATTCTTCACTATAAGTCAAACAAGGTGATACAAAACAATGTCTTTTCCATTTACAAGATAATCAAAATCAATATACAGAAAAGGGGAGATAGAGAAAGAGAGAGCGGTCCAAATCTGTGTGGCTCCACTCTCTCTGCTTGTCCGAATGGCTTAATTACCTCTCGGTGACATCCCTAAACTCCGGGATCATTAAAGGACCAAAATAAGTTTGAAAACATTCCAATCAATTGCAAATTAAATTTATATATTTTCAATTATTACCACACATTTTAAACCTAAAGAATCATACAATTAACCTTTTGCTTACTTAATAATCTTAATAATTACTTAATAATCAATGAACTTTGTGATTTAACCACTGAAACATCAACAAATGCTTTTAGGCTCCAACAGACACATTTCTGAGGAAACCCCCGATATAAAGTTGGAAGTGTCCTTCAAATGGCAGTTAGAGTGATCAGTGCAATCTTTGAATTAGGAGTGATGGAGATGAAGCCATTTAGCCTGTGGGAGGTTATCAAACTATATGACTCATTTCACTAAAAAGGTAAAATGATGGGAGATGGGAGTTACCCCTCATACGGCAGAGCATGAGAATATGCACAAGGTGTTTTCACACTGAGGGCAATATAGTTTTTAGTGTGAAGTGAAAGAGCCTATATTTCTTGGTAACAAACCCGTTTGGTTTTGTGGTGAGATGCTACAACGATTTCAGTAACATTCACTGGTTTATGTGAAAAAGGGGCTTTTAGTCTCAGAAAATAAAGAATTCAATTTTCTTACAAAAAAATAATAATCTATAGATGAGCAAATAACCAAATCAAATCAATTTAGAGGTTTTGTGTTACAAATGTCGATAATCTCACAATTTCAAGAACTACATGAACCAGGAGACTGAAATGAGGCATCAGATCTACCACGGACAAGTTTTGGTTCCCATCACTTTCCCATCTATTCTTCCAAAACCCAATGTAAGGTGTAAGGGCAAACTTGGCTTCCCCGCTGGATAGAGGAATCCCCAGGAGACATAAGTCATTCATTCAGCTATGAGTCAGTCCCCATCAACCACAATCCCTGAGTAAATGTCAATTCTACAAACAGGATGCACTGCGGGAAATGTGCACTACATTTGCAGCCACAATGTGGCAGTTAGAACACCCTCATCCCAACTAACTAGCTCATGGAAACTTCTTTGAGGTTAACAGATGAATTTGGGGCTGTTGTTAATTCATTATGAGAACAGAGTGGTGGTGTCTAATGACAGTGTGGATAGTTGATGTTGTCTTCAGTTACATAATTAGTTATTATAATCAGTTCACCATCATAGAGGACTAAGAAATCCTGAAAATCCTCACATTTGAGAAGCCACAACCAAAGATATATATATATTTTTTTTTGCATTTTTACAAAACTTGTTTTGTGTTACATGGCTTACTGCCACAGAGGCAGAAAATTACTGACGAGTCAAAATTAGTCAAAAACGTCAGCAGAGTACTCGAGACTGACTTGTCAGTTAAGCAATAATTACTGCTGTCACAAATAGCAAAAGTCGGAAAAATGCTAAACGTGAGAGAAAACCATTTTGACCCCTTCCGAGTGCCTTAGAATGAGCTGTTTTGATCTACAGAGGGAACGGCTCCACTTCCACGGACTCTGCTATTTCGAACCGCCATGTTTCTACAATTGCCCAGAACAGACTAAGCAAACACTGGCTGTAGTTCTTGCGCGTTTCACAGCCACCGTAGTTTTTGCGAGTTTCACAGCCACCGTAGTTTCTCCTACACGCTTGGAAAGCGAGTGGTATTCGGTTGGTTGCTATCTGCAACTTTACTGCTAGATGCCACTATATCCTATACAGTGGTCCTTATTTCATGTTATTTCATACGTCTTATTATCAGGGTTATCTAATATTTGGGTCAGTACAGTAGATGTCCTCTCCGTTCAATTACTCGATCTGGAAGTATATTACATAACTATGCGATCTGTGAAAATCATGAGAATCATGATCATCATGAAATGAAACAATGGATGTCCCAGTACACCTTTTCCTCTGACAGTTTCATGGTTTTCCATTAATCAGTTGGTAGAGTTAAGAAACGTAGCTAAGCCATGAAAAAAAAACATGGATCTAAGTATATGATGCTGAGTATCAAAATATTCAAAATTGGAAAATGCATTGTATTGAATGTTAGGGCAAAATAATGCATAAATTGTGTTTTAGTGAGGAACACTGAATGTAAACATAACATTTGTGTCTTTGTTTTTTTTCCTTTGTTCATAAAAAAATCCACACAAGAACTTAACTTTATGATCTCTTACTCACCACGTAGAACTCTTGTTTTTTAGGACAGTCTAAAATCAGTTCACAGCTTTGTGTCCCACCTTGTTGTCAGATGAATCCTTTCCAGCACTAATGAATCACTGTTTGCTGAGTGCAGCTGTGGTTTATATTACTGTATCATTTGTGGCTCCATTTAAAACACTGTCTTGTTGAGACCTCTAGTGGCTGCATGGAGAAGGTACTTGAGATAAAGATATCTGCAAATGAAGTGATCAACCAATCCTTAACCAAAAAATGCATTTATTATAATTTAAAATATTCATTAATGGCGTATGCTTTTATTTACTGTTCACGTTGTGGTTCTACAGTGCTTACTGTGTGGTGAACACTATGTGTTTCTGCTTTTGTGCATGGTGGCTCAGACGCTTGTGGTTTTCTGTGTGGAGTTTACATGTACTTTATATGTCTACGTGGGATTCTTGTGGGTGCCCCTGTTTCCTCTGACAGTCCAAAGACCGTTTAAGTGAAGTGGAAACTCCAAATTACATGGAATTACATGTGTTTGAATATCTATATCTAGACAGGATATGCAGAATATAGTGTTAGGGAAGCACCGATCCACATTTTTTCACTTCCGATCCTGATACCTGAATTTGGATATCGGCCGATACCGATACTATTCCGATACCAGAGCTCTGTTTTCTTTAATATTATTATTATCATTATTGTTGATTTTATATGAGGCTGAAATAAACTCCTCTCAACAGGCAAGTATGATATGTACGTATGTATGCATGTATGTCCCAAAAGGCAACTTGAGGTAAGTATAAGGTCAGAAAAGGAAGTCAGAAAAACAGGAAATCCTGTTAACAGGAAAAATCCCATCCTGAATACAAATATGCAACTGTAAGGCTTTCAAATTGATTGTCATGTCAATATTTATTAAATTCCCAAAATGTCAAATATTTGAAATATAAGAGAAGTGCAATAAGTGTAAACATCAGTTTAGACGCTTCTAGGTGTATTACTGCCCTCCTCAGGAAGTCACTCTAAGGATAATGTTACTGCTTCAAATGGTTGGATCGGGAAAATCCGATACGTGAATTACGCTGGTATTGGTCCCGATACCTATACTGGATCGGATCGGCCCCATCCCTATATAGTGTGCTTGCCATGTTTTAGTCATGTTGCTTCTTAAAAATAAACAAGTTGCAGAAAGGGGATTCTCTTTCTAAGGAGTGTCATTTTATAATATGGTATTTCTTTCATCAAACCAACTGTAACAGCACACATAAATAAATGTATGACGGATAGGGCTGGGCAAGTTAACGTGTTATTATCGCGTTAACGCATTAATTCATTAATGGTTATTAATGCTGGTGAATTTTTTCATCTCGCATTAACGCAGTTTTTTTTTTAACTATTATTATTATTTTGAAAGTCCGTTGCTCACTGGCTCTGAACACACATCCACACAAACCATGGGTCACAGGAGGGGGAGTGGAGGGAGGCTTCGGCAGACTACATTGGACGCAGCTAACAAATGCCATAGCGAAGTGGATAGCTTCAAACTGCAGGCCGATGACTTTTGAATTAATTATTGAATTTTGCGTAACTGCGATCATCATCAGAAGATTACAAATTTTAAACGTTGCCCAGCACTAATGACAGATCAAGTGAAGAGATGAAGTCTAAATACATAAAATGATGCACTGGGACCAGAACAGTTAGATCATCAACACCATTTAATACTTTTAATAGAGCAGTAATGTAACAATTATTAAACATTATAAATGCTACATACCATCAAACATCAACACTGAGATATTTGATTGGTTAGATTTGACATGTAAAAGTGCAGAATGCTTCCCTGAGAAGATTTATTGCATTTTGAAAAAAAACCCAACACATACACTCCAGCGGCCACTTCACTGGGTACCGCTGTAAAATCTATTGCAATCCAATACAAAAGCTCAGCCATAAATTCAACCTTAAGATAATAATGTTCAATGTTTGCAGTTCAACACCACTGCAAACTATAACCTCAAATAAATTGAATATTATCTCTCTCAGACAGTTTCAATTAAAACTGCACTTAAACGTAAAGGTAGATTTTATAGCTGATCTCTTGTATTGTATTGCATTAGGTTTCTCACTCATAAAGTGGCCACTGAGTGTATATTTTTGTAGCGGTGTAGGTGTCATAGTATAAATATTATTTATCCATGTGCATAAAATCTGAGTAAAAAAATGTTATGCAACAAGGTCAGTAGGATCTGCATTTGTATTGTGCACAGTCCCTGTAACATCCATCACCATAGCCCCAGTATCACAATACAGAATATTAGATACGTATCAGTGTATCAATATTGCCACATTAGCACATACAATATCAAAAGTAAGAAAAATGCCATGTGTAATTCTCAGTGAAGGATAAATAAATGGAGGACAGTGGGTAACAGCTGAAAACAGCTACTGATTGAACACTGAATGCCTGTGAAAGGAGTGTTAATCACCAAACACAGTGTGGTTGTGTCACTGCATAACATCACATGCACACAATGCATAAAACAGTGATTTGATGTAACAGCAAACACGTTAAAGAAGGTTTTTGTTTTAAGGAAGAAGCGAGCACACCAGCAGAGTTAGAAAGTGCTGTTCTGCCGAGCCAGAAAGTAATCCATTTTGTTTTTCCTTTTAGGTTTGAAGATGACATAGAGGAAGATAGAAACCACCGTCAGAAAGCAGGACACGGCCACCACAGCTACCACCAGCCATGTAAATGTGGAGTCTGCAAAGAGAAAGACAGAGGTAAATGCATGCTCTGATATAGAAGCCACTGGTTCTCTTGAACATTGCAAAGGATAATTGTGATAACTGTGTATTAGAGCTTAGATTGGGTATTGGCTCTGTTGGTTATGATCACGTACTTATTAGAGTCTTTTGAACATGGCGACATACATATGCACACACACACACACACAACTCACCCTCTAGCTGAAGCTGTGTGACAACTTCCTGTCTCCCTCCTTGGTTCTGAGTGACACACTTGAGCTCTGTCATCGCATCTTCTTCGGTGTTTACATGGTATGACTAAAGGCTGTTATATACTCGCTGTTACCAACCTGTGGTCGCGCGACAGTGTGATGTCAAAATGACGTAGATCTCACTGGGACGCCAGGATTTAGGCCAGGTCGCGCCAGGTCGTGCACCACTCTTTTTTTTTTTTTTAGCTGAGCACGCCAAAGCGGAAAAGGGAAGATGGATGAGTTCGAGGGCAAGCTTTCCGAGCAAGTGCGCCTCTACAGGCATCTGTACGATCCTTCAATGAAGGAACACAGAGATGCCCAGAGGTGCCAAATATTGGAAAAGAGGAGGCCATATGCCGGAAAATTTGGAAGAACCTCTGCTACCGATTTGGAAAATCAAAAAAGAGGTCGCCATTGTTTACCTTTTTCTTCTTCTTCTAGTGCGTAGAAATAGCAAAGTCGGTAGCCTTTCCTCACTTGCGACACCTCTGTTCAGGAGAAGACTGCAACTAGTGTCGCGACCACCATGCGCAAGTATAAATAGTTACGGCGCCCCCGTGACGCCACGTTGTTGCGCGACAGGTCGGGAACAGCGAGTATATAACAGCCTTTAGGCTGAATATGTTTAATATATCTGTAATGTTAGTCAAATATTAGCAGCTTTAATCACAGGTCCCAGCACACAGAAAGGGACAATCAAAATCAAGAAGGTACAATCCAAAGTGATTCCTCATTGGCTTAGTGAAGAGATAATATAATTTCTAACAGTGTTTTGAGCATTTATGTTTAGTATTTACTGCGCTATATGTACACTGGATGAACAGAAAAACTTTGCGCATGCATCTTAAAGGGGACATATTATGCAAAACCAATTTTTTAATTGTTTGCAGTTCAGATTTTGCTCCCCTTGCTACGTCACAGAGGCATGCATTTTCATATTGCAACCTTTAACCTGCATGTTGCCACCCATTTCCGCCCTGTATTAGCAGAGCTCCGCCATTGCCCCTACAAGCGAGCAAGCGGCCGGCGTTATGTCTGAGCAAAGGCTTAAGCACGCTAACTGTTCAGTCCTTGGCTTCCCAGCCCAGCACAAATCTCTTTATAGTCTCCCAGCCTCAGGCGATGTATGAGCACAGTGGATTCATTTTATTTTTGATGGCAATGGCCCGGCTAGAGTCGTCAAAAGTCTGTACGTGTGTGCAAACCACTTTGTATCGGACTGTTTTAACAACCTCGGTCAGTAATATACTGGACTGGCTAAAAGACTGTTCCTGAAAGAGGGAGCAGTACCAACTGTCCGTAGCAAGACGGCAGAGGAAGTAACAGTAAGTATTTTTAAGAATTTATGCTTTGTTTTTCATTGTTCGTGTAAGACTAGGTAATGCTAACAGCTGTTAGCTGCAGGAGCCTCAGTGATGCTAATGTTGTTATTTTGCTTGTTAAATGTTCTGCACCAGTTGGTGCAGATGTCTCCATATTCTTCGCTGCAATGTTTTTATAGAGATTCACACAAAGTTTATGCCGTGAATCACCAATTTCAATTTCACCCCTGCTGCCAGTAGCTCTGTGCAGGGGGTGACACAGTAAAAGTTACTGTTGTGAGGTTTGTGGCCGGGGAAAATTGGCTTTATGTTCGTCTGTAATTTGGCAAACGTGCATGCTTTTCAGTAAGTACTATGTTTATGTGTGTCGCCGGTAGAATGAGCAGAGACGAGCAAACAAACTGTAGCGATGCAAAAAGTAATTTTGGATTCAGCAGCAAGCCTCACCAGCTGTTCCGCTTGTTGAGCTGCACTAGACAGGAAAGATAGTTAAGTAAGTAACTCCGACAGTCACTGTAATGTAGCTCGGGGGGTAGTAGGGATGTGTATCGACACCCGCTTCAAAAACTTCAAATCAAAACCCGAATATCAACAAGGTTCGAGCTAATTGAGAATAGTTTAATGTGATGTCTCGAGTAAGACTGAAACAGTTCCTCTTGTTACACATGTTACGGTCCCTGTCTAGTGTTGATGTGCTAATGTGGTTGACCAGTTGTTGTTGTTCCTATGTGTGTCCTTGAAGGTACCATCAGCAGAGTACGGATTTGGAGCACCTGGTTGAGGCGCTCCTTAAAGGATAAAAACCCTGTCTCAACTTTGCTCTGGTCTCTCTCTCTCTCTCTCTCTCTCTCTCTCTCTCTCTCTCTCTCTCTCTCTCTCTCTCATTGGGCTGCATTCCTGCCAGCAGCAGCAGCACATTCTCTTTGTTTGGTTTCTGATTTGTTTTCACTTTACAACATTTACACCTCATATTGCTCACACATCCACATTTACATTACTGATGTTACTGACTGACACACTTCACATTTGTACTTATAACCTCAGTTGTTTAAGTTAATATAATAAATTCACTAATTTCTTGCCATCTATTGTGTCCTATGCCGTATTTGTCATAGCCTAGGAGCCGGGTTATAACACTCGATTACAAAGAAACTGCATCAAGGCTTTAATTAATCCAGAACTATATACAGCGCGCTGTGTTTATCACGGTTGATAATTACAACTCACTTTGGAGAGAGAAAAAGGCAAGCGGCGAAAAAGACACAGAGCAGAGAAAACGACCATAAGCTTGTGAGGATTTCGAGCAGAAACAGGATTAAAACGTATTCGATGATGGCCACAGCAAACATCAGTACCAAGCGGACCGTGATGGCAGTCTGCAGTGACACAAAAATAATCCAATCTAAAATATCCTCTGGCAAAATGTGTACAGACGTCTAACTAGTGGGCCCTCTGAGAGAGCAGGGTTGTCCTCTTGCTTTCAGACTAATGGAGGAAAACTGAAACACTGACAAAGCAGGTGTCATGCCAGGTACTGGGATTTTGCCGATGTTGCCGCCCCCACGCTCAGCAGCAAATTTAACCTCAGGGATTTACTAACGGAATCCCATGAAATGAGTCACATTAAATGGTGAAATGCCACTTATATCAAAGGTCAGCAGAAATAATACCAACAGTAATAATATCATTTATATTTATTTATAATTAAAGATAAAGGCCTGTTTTTCTGAGGTTTCAGCAAACCTTTAAATGGTTTCAGAAAATATTACAGACTTATCTATTCATTGTGATATAATATTTCACCCCTATATTTTGCTATACAAACATGATGGGGTAATACTTATATTTTGATGAAGATCTTGGCATTTAGAGTGATAGAATATATATTGAATTGAAAATCATTTCTGTTCTGTTTATTAGGCATTATCTGATCTGCTTACTCAGATTACTATTATTCAAACATTATATTTCATCTATATATTATATATTGTATTCAGTAATACAAAATGTATTTCTTCTCCACATTATTGTACTCTATTGTATTCTTTATCAGTTTAAGCTGGGCTTTGCCCGACAGGAAGCTAAAGTCTCTGGTTCGTGCAGATCACTTTTGCCGCAATGTTAAATCATCATTTCAATGGATGAATTTTTGAGCAAGTTGAATTTCATGATTGATGAATAATAAGTCAGCTATACTGTAATTGCATGTGCAACACTCCCTATTTTTTCTTATAAAGCAGTACGTGAGTGTGTGCACATTCACCAGTGCAGGTGACATTTGATATTGTAGTAAGTGGCCAGCGAGGGATTGGCAGTGTAGAGATCTTATTAGTGATGTAATGCAGTAGGTTTCTGCCACCAGACCCAGCCAGCTTGTTGCGTGGGTTCAGCTTTGGTTATTTTCAAGAATTTTCTCTTTGTGACTGTGCCAGTAGACCTTTTTCACAGCAGCCATTTTGACATGAAAGAGTTGGACCAATGATACTAATTAAGGTTGTGTTCCATTCAGGTCAAACAGAGTCATAGTGCTGCTATTGTGCATGTTGGCTCAGTGGAAAGACTGCTACACTAATAAGAACTGAATTTTAATTAATATGTATATAACACCTGTATTTATTAGTCCTGTCCTAATCTGCTTTTTTTAGCCCCCGATCTGATGAAGTATTTGCAGATACGGAGTCCCTATCCGATACTTATGTTTTTTTTATATTATGCAGTGCACAGTGCCCACTACAAGTACATTAAAGTTATTAAAATCAATCCACTGTGGCGCCTGGTTAGTTCAGTCGGTAGAGCTGGTGACCCATATGCGCAGTGGCCCGGGTTTGAATCCGACCTGCGGCCCTTTGCTGCATGTCGTCCCCTCTCTCTGCCCCCTTTCCTGTCTCTCTATCAAATAAACGCACAAAGACCAAAAAAATAATACTAAAAAAAATTTAAAATAAAAATCAATCCACTGTATGCTTGACAATTAAATAACATCAAAGCTGTTTCTTACGGTTGTTGTTTGTTTTTTTTCACACTAAATTTTAAAATAATAGATCTTCTCTGTAATGTTTTTGCTGTTGTCGCTGTCTGGAGGACCTGAGTTACCTGTATTCTGCTGAGTAATTATTTTTGTCGTCTGTACTTTTGCATGGATTACATTAATTAATTACTCATGTTGGTATGGTTTTTGTTGCACTTGTTGAGTGTGGCTGTATTGCTCTCTACTCTGAGCAGAGGCGGCTCCGCCTGCAGATAAACTCCATGACATAGCTGCACCGTGCATGAAAGCACGAGTAAAAACTGCTGTGTCACAGCTGACTTAAAACAATGGATCTGATCGGGTCATTAAAGCAGATACCGATCAGTTAAAAAATGCATTGATTGGCACCAATACCGATCGTTGAGATCAGATCGGGACATCCCTAGTATTTGTTATTATTATCAGTATTATTTCATGTCAGAATGGTTGCTGTGAAAAGGGTTTAATTTGTCTTGCAAGGACAGTAGATGCACAATACCTTATGTGAAAAAAGACAGGGACAGAGTGTAGCCAATGGGTTGCGTTAGCCTGGCATGCTAACAGGCTAATTTTTAACACAAGAAATATTGTCAAAAAATGTGTGGATGAAAATGTAAACTCATGGCCAGTAACATTAATATTGACAAATATAACTGATAACAACATTAGTAAGATTAAGTGTACATTATACAAATTGAGCAGAGAGAGATGTCATTTCTGCCCACCATCGTTATGTGGATTAGGAAATAGACTCCTAACTTTGGTAATGGTCTAAAATCTGTTTTGGTTAGAGGATTTTGGAAATACATCTGAATTTTTTAAGGATTGTCAGAGATCTTTACTCTGTAGCCTTTAATGCGTTAAATCAATACACTAAAAATTGGATAATAATAAGCATCAAATAGTTGATTATTTTTTTGTCCATCAATTAATCGATTAGTCGACTCATTGTTGCAGTCATCCTCCTTCTGTTTTCAGTAGCTGCTGTTGCAATGCTTTGTTTGTTTACTACATGAACCTTTGGACCAGAGAAAAAGACTTGTTTGGCGATGGTGCAATTCAGGTTTGATAGAGGTGGCAGACCTTTGGCATTTTGTTGGGGTTTATAAGAGGAAGTTATCAACAGATGTAAGACGTTGTGAGTGAGTGAGTGTGTATTCCTGGATTGCCAGCTTCTGTTCAGAGGAGGAGCTGTGTCTGCCACTTAAGCTCACAGATGTAAATCTATTATAGGCATAGTTAAATGTTATCAGTGTAATCAGCTTAGTTGATGGCAGTTTATTGCTGTCAAACAAGAGGCTGAAATCTAAATTTAATATTGACCGCCATGTTCTTTAGTACCACATTTAATTATTAAAATAAATTTACTTTGGTTGGAATTTCTGATTAAATTATTTCCGTTCTGGCAAGATTTTGTACTCTATCTTAAAGAACCATCTGTGTCTTTCATCCCATTAACCACAAATGCGGTATACTTAACATTACTAGTGAATGTTTCAGATAGCACATACTTTGTATGAGTAATTATTCTACTATCCTATATCATGACACAGCCACTGGTTTCCATTCATTTCATGACGTAAGGGAAATGATCTCGCAGATACCTATCTACCTACCTAGATAATCTGGATCGAGATAAAGAATCACAGTGACCAACCCATCACATGTTGGGACTGGGTTTAGCAAAGCTTGTCAGTTCATCAGCTGACTCAGAGTCCTAGATTGCCCCAACAAGGAGAGTTTATAAAAAGTTATAGTATAGTATGTGAGAAAAATAGAGCTCCAACATGTCCACTCTCCCTAATGGAAACTTGGCCAAGCTGCAGTAAGCTACTGTAGTTGTTTTTAAAAGAAACTAATGAATCTTATAGTTTCAGCCTCTTATGTAAAACTGGGTTTTATTGTGTAACTGAGTGAGCAATTTCCTTTCTAACACAGTGCTGACGTCATTCAGGTAAGGGACTTCCTTGAGACACAACCATAAAAGTGTGAATGTAAATGTTTGCCATCTTTGACCTATTTAATTAACAGAGGACGCAGATTGAAAGAACCCACTGACATTGCAGTCAGAAAAAGATGTAAGTAACCGTTGGTAAAATTCAGCTGGGGGCGGGAGCAGATTAAACTAGGTTTATGCTCAATGCAGTGTCCCCGGCAGTTCTCGAAAACATTAATGTCCTGTTGGCCCAAAAATACAGTGTCTGGGACAACTCGGGACAAATTAATCATTCCAAATACATTTTTTGCGGCATGAGCTCTTACACATGCCCCTCAGAAGTGTGGCTTAGCTACATTTGACATTCTCTCTGACTCTAAATCTCTTGATGAGAGGGTTTCTATGTGTGTAAATATTTAGATAGTAGTGCTGGGCGTCAAAGCATTTTTATTATCTCTGAGTTTGAATGCAGTATAGAAACAAATGCAACTGAAATGGATGACATGAAATATTTGTACAGCATTCATTTTCATAAAGGTTGTTTTAAGTCGAATTCCCAAGTTCCCAGTTGGAAATTTCCACTGGAATAAAGGCGAAGGATTTTAGCCTTTTATAATTATCACTGATCAATAGTAAGTGAAAATGTTAGTAATTTACTGTTATTAGCACTTGTGTCTTTTGTATCTCAGTACTGTCCTACTTCCATGTTGCTACGGTGTTTCTCTCTCACTAGTTCCCTCTGGATCTCTGGGTTTGGGTGTTCTATAGCTTGTAAATATTTAAATAATTCATTTGATCTACTCCCTCCCATTTGGAGTTTTTTTTGTTACTTCAAATATACAGTATGATGTTCCTGCCTGTAGAGATGTTGTAATTTGGCTAAATAATAATAATGTTCATAGCGTGTGTATGTAAAACAGAAACAGGTTTGCAGTTTGTAGTGATCCATTACTACAAACTACTACTACTTCCATTTATTAATCTGAAAGAAACAGTAACTCGGCCAATTACTAAAGGAATAATGAAAACGGATTGTGGTCAAACACCTTGAGTGAATTTATTATTCTGATATAAATGGAGGGAACAACTAGCAATAACTTCTGTAGTGGACCAGAGTGAGTCAATGAAGTGATGCAAGTTACTGAAATATTGATTAAACTCAATTTATTATTATTTTATATATTTTTATATTTATTTACTAAATATTAATGTTAAGTCTGGGACAGTTGAAAGTAGAAGTTGTGAAAGCTGCGGGACATTTCTAGCCCTGGTCCGTGGAGTGAGGGTGTGCTCTGTGGCTCTTTACTTTCAGTACAAAGAAATAATAAGAATGTCACTGTGAGGACAGAGAATCTTCTTTTTCTGTTTCCCAGCCTTGGATTGATGCAGAGCCTCAGCTGTATATATATATATATATATATATATATATATATATATATATATATATATATGTATATATCTACATGTATAGACATGGACACATAAATAAACATAATTTTTTTGCTACTCGAAATACATTTTATATTCTATATTTATATCTATATATTTTTTCAGCCGATATGACAACCGATAGTTAACTGCTCCTTCACATTTTTGTATTTTAAAAAGAAGTTCATAACCTTTCATGCATGGAGCGTTATATACTCTGACCTAACTAAATCTGACTGACAACACTTGTTAACACAGACAAAACAACAATTCTGACTCCTCAAATGTTCTTTTTTCTTTTTAAGTACATCAGAAAACTTCTTTTATTCTAAAATAGAAATACAGAAATTATCATTATTATGGATGGATAATTTATTAGCTATAATTTGATTAATTGGAATGATATAATTGACCACTGTTGACATAATTATCACAGATGCCTAATCCATGTATTTGTATTCTTCATTGGTTACTTTATGCTTTTCTTGTGTTATTTATTAATAAATAATATAATAATTTATTAATTATTATCATATTATTTTTGGATTACAAACTGTTTTAAGACATTTTAGAAATATTACATTTTTACATATATTTGTGAAAGCTTTAATTCAATCATGTCACAAACAGCTCATCTTATTATCTATAATAGAGAATGTATGCTGAAAACAGGCAGTATTTTGTGAATATCTCTCTTTTGAAGGAAACTCCTTCAACAAGTCATGCTCAGATTTCTCAAGGGTTATTTCTCAGGTTATAAACAGGAAAGGCAGTGCCATACACACATGACACAAGCCATGCGCTCGAACTTTCAGTTAACTGTTCAACATGCTCTAAAGAAAGTTTGTGCGTATCAGGTTCATCTGTAATTCTATCTTTACCCGGCATGGGTTCAGAGGAGTTTTCCCCCCCAACCCGTAGAAGGCTGTGTTGATATTTTGACTGGAAGAATACTGAAACTGAAAGTGCTCAAACTTGAGTGTCAGCAAATAATTCAAAGCAACAATTGGACAAAAGCTTTGTGTTATAAACTTCATGTAAAGCAGCCAGAGTCTGGTTTTAGAAATGAATCATAACAGCAGAAACCTTTCTCAGTCGGAAAATAAAGGGCTCAGAATAATTTTGATGGTCAGTACTCACAGTGTGCCTCAGCGAATGAGAGAGACGGCAGAGCAACCAGCAAGAAGACCCAGCCTGCCACTGCCATAGTCCTTGTCTGTGGTAAAAGACAGGTCACATAAAGTCCTGTGAGATTTCACAGACATGGCTCATGTTCTCAGTCACACTGACTCTCACAGGTTTCTTGACACATTTCCTGACTGGTGAACTGACTGACTACATTCCTATAAAGGGAAGTGAGAGGTGCAGTTGACACAAGGAAGGCAGGTCTGAAACACTCCCAGTAAAGTCCCAGGAAGTTCCACTGATTTGTGTTTATTTGGAATTTAAAGGTCCAGTGGGTAACATTTGGGAGACTCCATTTATTATTCATAGGTATGTTTTCATTAGTGTATAGTCACTCAAAAATGGTTGTGGTTTTGTTACTTCATGATGAGCTGTTTTTATCTACAGAGGGAGAGCCTATCACATTTTTTATGGCCACCATAGTTTCTCCTAAGGGCTGCGCTGTAGTCAAATGGCTACTACTACAACTTCACTACTACACCACTGAATCCTACACACTGGTGCTGTTAATCTCTCTGTCAATCTCTCTCGCTCTCTCTATCTCTTTATCTCTCTGTCTATCTTACTGTTCTGATTCAGCGTATTTTATCATTGCACTCCAGTACTCTATCTTCAATGAATAATATATACTTTATAGCAGGGTGCAAAATATTTTATTTTGTCCACAGGCCAAATGGCTTGTGAATGTTCAGACTTTAGCAGCAAATCAGCATGTTAACATTGCTTTTTTGGCTGGTGAGTGAAACAAACATACCAGCCAGCATTTGGCTGGTGGCCACTGCCCTGCTTTGTAGGTTTCTAATGAAAAGATCTTTTGTTGTTAGTATTTTGTTTCAGAATATTCACTGGACTGACTAAGTAAATGTTTGTTTATAACAAAATAGATAGCAGTGAAATTTATAAAGACATGGATTTACATTGATTTAAAAACTGTCAGTTATAAATTCAGTATTTGGTAACAAAATATCCAAAAGAACATAGGGAATATTATGTGATAAGTGATATACTGTTAGACTAAATTGCCACTTACAGTTACACTGACACTATGTATCCATTTATAGAAAACATACATTATTTACTGAAAAGCATGGAGGCACTGCAGAATAAATAAAATATAATAAATGTTGTGTTGAGACTTACAGACAGCTGCTTGTTACTTGTAAGAAGCTTAAGACGTGCTTGTAGGTTTTCCTTCACAATAATTTATACTGTTCCGCTAATTCCTGCATGAAATTTCCACTCAACTGAAAAAAAGTACCACTTGTCTTGCAGTATAGGTTCTGTGCAATGATTCATACCTATGAAATAGGCCATGAAACCACATTTGTTCCAGTTCTGAAAGTGACAGCTGTATATTAACCCAATGCAATAAAGATTGTATTAGTGTGTTACTGTACCACTTTTACAAAGGTAAATTAAAAATAAATTGGATAGTTGGATTGTTATGATACTTAAGATGCACTTCTTCCTGGTCTTTACTGATGACCTCACACTGAGAAGGAGGAGGATTTTAAATTCTATTCTAAATTTTACATGGAGCCAGTGCAGAGAAGCTAGTACAGGAGAGATGTAATCTCTTTTTGTAGTTCCTGTCAGTACTTGTGCTGCAGCGTTCTGAATTAATTTGAGCGTTTTAATGGGCTTATTGGGGCAACCTGATAATAAAGAGTTGCAGTAATCCAGCCTTGAAGTAACAAATGCATGGATTAGTTGTTCTGCATCTGTCTGTGATAGGATGTGTCTAATTTTTTGTAACATTACGTAAATGAAAGAAGGCAGTCCTGGAGGTCTGCTTTATGTGGGAGTTAAATGACAAATCCTGAACAAAGATAACTCCAAGATTCCTGACAGTGGTGCTAGAGGCCAAGGTAATGCCATCTAGAGTAACTATATCTTTAGACAGTGAGTCTCTAAGTTTTTTAGGGCCAAGAACAAGAATTTAATTTTTTTCTGAGTTTAACATCAGAAAATTGCTGCTCATCCAGGATTTTATGTCCTTAAGACATGTTTGTAATTTAGATAATTGATTAATTTCATTGGGCTTGATCGATAGATATAACTATGTATCATCTGCATAACAGTGAAAGTTAATGGAGTGATTCCTAATAATGTTGCCTAAAGGGAGCATATATAAAGTAAATAGTATTGGTCCAAGTACAGAACCTTGTGGAACTCTATGAATAACTGTAGTATTTATTGAAGATTCATCATTAACATGTACAAGTCCATTATCAGAAGCAATCAGAAGGTCATTATTAACTTTAACCAGAGCTGTCTCTGTGCTATGATGAACTCTAAATCCTGACTGAAAGTCCTCAAATAAACTATTGTTATGTAGAAAGTCACACAACTCTTTGGCGACTACTTTCTCCAGAATCTTAGAGAGGAAGGGGAGGTTAGAGATTGGTCTATAGTTGGCTAAAACCCCTGGGTCAAGAGTGGGCTTTTTAAGAAGGGGTTTAATTACAGCTAATTTAAAGGACTGTGGTACATATCCTGATAAAGAAGTGCCAATTAAGGGAACAACTTCTTTAAGCAGCCTAGTTGGGATCGGGTCTAATAGACAGGTTGATGGCTTCGATGAAGAAATCATTGAAGTTAACTGATGAAGATCGATAGCAGAAAAACAGTCTAAATATATATCTGAGTTTACATTTGTAAAAGTCCCTGAACTTGGAGAGCCACTGATAACTGTTGATGGCAGTTGGTGATAATTTTCTCTCTAATAGTAATAATTTTATTATAAAAGAAGCTCATGAAGTCATTGCTACTTAAGGTTATGGGGATATGTGGCTCAATAGAGTTGTGACTCTCTGTCAGCCTGGCTACAGTGCTGAAGAGGAACCTAGGGTTATTCTTATTTTCTTCTATTAGTGCTGAGTAATAGGCTCCTCTGGCATTACGGAGGGCCTTTCTATAAATTTTAAGATTATCTTGCCAAATTGAGCGATATTCTGATAGTTTGGAAGAGCGCCATTTCCTTTCAGATTTCCTAGCTATTTGCTTTAACTGGCGGGTTTGGTGGTTGTACCACGGTGCTAGTCTCCTATGTTTTAATAATTTCCTTTTTATTTCATCAGGAAATTAATTGAGTTTCCTTTGCTAATTCGGTGGCTTTTGCATACTGCTAAGAACAAAATGCTAAGGGAAACAAAAAACAAAAAGTTGTGCAGGGAATTGAAATGAAAATAATAATAATTTTGATGAAAAATGCACAGTTTGTCCTCATTTAAGCCTAGCAGCTTTTTCTGCCTTGTTGCAGGGTGTATGTGCCTTTTATAAATAGCATTTAATAAAAATAAATACATTTCTAATAATCGTTTTCTTCCCTCAGCTTTTGCTTTTAAATAACATTAAAGAAATGGCAGTACATTTGAGATACAGTTCAAATGTTTGCTGCTTGACTTCTCATGATACTGTAGACATTTTGTTTTATTTTACATATTTACACTTTTCATCATACATATGTACATTAAACACATTTTCATTTGGTTTCATCATTCCTTTGTCTACTTTATTCTTCAGTCGCCACCTGCCAGGGTATGTCAACAGCTCATGTATTGATGCCGGCAATCTCCGGATATCCCAGACACTGTGATGATCTGCATATCGGGCGCGAGGTATTGCTGTTGAGTCTTCAAGCAAAGAATCTTCCACCCTTTCTTGACCAGTTACTCTGCCTTCGGCACATGCCGTATTGTTACGGCATGAAATGTGCTACTTGAGCAGTTACACATTTTGGAAGCTAAAGGAAAAATGTACCTGCTGAGATGACATTTGTAGTACGTGCCTTGACTCAACTTTCACAGATTCTGGTGACCACACAGTATTTATGAATTGTCTGTGATTACTACCAGACACATTTGTATTGGAAACCAGCTACTCTCTGGTCCAACAGTTGACACTTATATAGGATAACCCCCATCATAAGTTCAGCAGGGCAGTCCTCTCAGGGTGTACCACTCTCTTGCCCCTCACTGGCATATGATACCTTATCTCCTTCCAAAACCTGAAGGAAGGAGAGAGGGATGGCGAAAAGTCTGTGTCCTGTCCATCTTTCTCCTCGTGTTCTCTTCTCCTCAAACATGTCCTCCACCTTTGCGTCGGCCTCTGGTACTTCCACCAACACACAGCGCCCTGCTTCGTCCTCAGGTGACGCACTGACTCTGGGAAGAGAGCCAGCTGAGCCGGGGTGATCTCTTCCAACTCAACCAGAACCACCTGTAAAACAGCGCTCAAATAAGAATCAGGGTGTCTTTTTGTGACAGCGACCTACTAAACTAAATGTTTGTTCTCGTATGAAATATAACAACTAGATGCAACTTTTAAAGACATTGTTCAGAATCAGGACTAGTCCCGAGGCAGTCATGTACATATCAGTGAGCGACTTCTTATTTGTAGCAGGCACTGACTGCTTCTGTAGCTGGTCAAAAATGAGAAATGGACGATGTCTGCAGATCATATCAGCTGTCGTAAATTAACAAGAGTATGCTGGTAACTAGTACACTGTTGTTTGAATAAAGTGCAAGTCTGTGTCTGTACTCAGTCGAAAGTCCTTTCAGAGTAAAAAGTGATTTTTGTACTTCCCATAACTCCAACAGAAAGAGATGTCTGGCATTTGCCCAGTCGATGTTTCACTCATGTCATATCAATAAATTAAGCTTAGAAAGTTCATATTTGTGAACCAGTCTTTGCATCAGGTAGCTCATGAAAAATGGTGTCTCAGATTCAGTAGGCTACATTTGTTATTATTTCAATGTGACATACATATTGAATCAACATTTAGTTCAATATAAGGTGAGTCAGACTCTGTGGAGGCACATATCCAAAATTAAAAAACTCCACTAGTGGTAAAAAATAAAACCCCCCTAAAAAAAACAGGACATGCTTTGTTCATATTTATATATCAAGAAGACAAACATTTGCATTAATTTGATAACCTGATTATTGTAAATCAAGTATTCTACCAATATATTTGCTTTATTAAAGATCAATAGTAAATATATAATTCAGATCCTTCCTCCACCTCTCGTTAGCCCACCCACAGCCTAACTGCACTCGTGTGTTACCGGTTGAACCTTCCCCTTTGAGGAAGGTGGAGTCTACCGGGTTTGTTGTGAAAGTATTTCCCAGTAAGTCCGATGATTGATTGCGTTATCTCCTGTGATATTTTTCTGCAGCAAAAGAATGACAGCTCGCTGTTCCACTTCCTTCACCATCTAGTCTTTCACTTAGTCTGCCTGCTGTTTGGTGCTTAGTGGGTCGTGTACAGTGAGTTTGTCAGAGCTTGTATTCTGAGAACAATTTCTGGGATTGATGAGAACTGTGAGATGAAACTATAAAGTAAATGTGCTGTAAAACCAAGAAAATGGTTTGCTTTGTTTTGGTTTGCATCACATCCTTTTCACATTATCAATGGTAAAATAATTAAGAATTTGCTGTCAAGCATATGCATTAACAAGTCTGTTTTCTCACCTTGAGAGATCCCTCCAGCAGCGCTCTGTGCATTGCTGCCACACACTCCAACTGCTGCCTTGTGTCTTCATAGACTTGTTCACTACCATCAAAAATCGTGTTATTCATCATGCTTTCGGTATTTTCGCTGCTATTGCTGTTCTTGGAGATGATGTTGTTGTTGTTGCTGCTGGTGCTGCTTGTGTGTCTTTTGCTGGTGAAAGAGGAGGCGGTGTAGATCAGAAGGAGGCGGCGACTGGCTTGTATGTTCTCTTCCACAGAATCCACTATGGCTGCAGGGTGGAAATGGAGACACAGCGAGTGTTGTTAATAAAACATGAGTTTAATAAGTGATGACCCCCAGTGTAGTAACACATACAGTAAAGGGTATGTTAGTGCACAAACCATAATAATACTAATACTAATAGACCAGGGGTTCTTGACCTGTAGGTCTGCCCCCCCCCCCTCCAGGGGGGGCATTCATACATGAAAATCACTCACCTTTTGGCGAAATTCACCGTTTTGAAACCAAAACAGGTGACCTACGTGAATCGTGTAGATTCGATGAGAAAATGTTTTGCTAACATTCATACACCCTCACACACCGATGCCAGCATCGGGAGCAATTTGGGGTTCAGTATCTTGCTCAAGGATACTTCGACGTGTGGCACCAGGAGCCTGGGATCAAACCCACAACCTTCCAGTTAAGGAGCGACCCGCTCTGCCTCTGAGCTACAGCCACCCCTGTTAGTGCACAAACCATAATAATACTAATACGAATAGACCAGTGGTTCCTGACCTGTAGGTCCCCCCCCAGGTGTTGCATGGTAGATCTAAGGGGGTTATATACAATAGAGCAGAGAAACATCTTTGTGCTACTCAAAACAAATCAGACTTGCCAATAATCTTTCAGGTGTTTTAATAAGCTAAATTATACAAAACCAAAACTGGTGGTCACAAGTAGACACTGCTTTGTTTTGAGGAGTCACAAGCCAAAAGGTTTAGAACCATTGATTTTGGATTAAAATGGGTTGATTTTGGTTTTCTGATAAAAGCCGTGGTTTACCAGATTCGTGTCTTACTCATAAATCACTAAACAAGTTATTTAGTAACTTGGATAGCAGCCTGGACAGTCAAGTAAGTCAAAATATGCCACTGGCATTCAGCCAAAACCAATCTTGCCTTCAGTCTACCACTGCTACAGTATATATGTTAAGTTCTGTTGTAAAGAACCAGTAATTTACTGGTTCATGATTGACAATATAATACTAGTAGTGACAAACTAAGAAACGGCTCTCCAGATCAACTTTGAAGCTTTAAAGGTGTTTTTCAAATAGCATTATTTTTTTCAGAGCAGAGCGACGGGATCAAAATAAATAATATGTTTTAATTGAAGACACGCCACCATCATATCTGAGTCAAATAATATTCTAACATAGGCAACTTACACTGGCCGGGCAGGCAGTCACGTCCTGGTATGAATAGTTTGTAGCTGCAGGACTGCTCCAACACTTGAGGCAGTGTTTGAATGGAAAAGGCCTCCACATCCTTGCTGTATCCAGCAGCACAGGGCAGTGGGTAGGCCACATAGGCATCATAAAGCTTCCCATCCAAATCTGAAAGGAAATTTAAGAAGAGTTCATTAATGTGTATTTTTAAGGGTGGTTCTTTTTCCCAGGTGAGGAAATACCATTCAATCTCAGGTGTATCAAATAACAGAAGTGCTTGGAAGAATTGTGTCAGTTAAGTCTGCACACATTGTTTATTATGTTTTTTATATTTTGTTATTTATTCTTACAATCATGTTGCAAGCACAGACACAAATATTTAATGTACGACTGGGTAAAATTATCATGCTTCTTGGGACTCCATGTGCAAGATATTTGAAGATTAATAATGTTAAAGGGTTCAGGGTTTACTCTTTTATTATTATTATTATTTTTAAAGCATAACCTTTAAAATCAGATTGTGAAGACTTGATACCACTGGGCTTCAGGCAAAATGTTAAAATGCAGTCCTAAATGTTAAAAGGTTATTTAGTTGCATAATCAGTGGATGGCATTTCATCAGAATTACTGCAGGCAGCTCTTGTTAGTTCATTTCCTTTGCTTGCTCTCATTGTTGACACATGCGGTCAGGTATGAGATAGAGCCTAAGGTTCAGTGTTGTGATATATGTATGGGTACTGTACGTGTGTGTGTGTGTGTGTTGTAAGGTCAAAACAGTGTTGGTTTTTCCCATCTTGTAGCATTGTGGGTTTAGTGTAAAAGTACTTTTTGTACTTGTGGGCTGACACATTATGGTTACATTATACACTGCATATAATAATGAGCTCATTACTAATTACATACCTGCTGCAAATTATTACCTTTATTTGTATAGAGGACAGGGAACGCTCTCCTGAACCACAGCACAATGTCAACCTTAAAAAGGTAGTAGATGATGAAACTGCTGATAAAGAGAACCTTCACACCACAAAGCACCAATCCAATGGGAAGTAGGATGTTGGGATCTGTAGAGGTGAACATACAATTTTAGTGTGTCCTGTGTTATTCAGACTTTTGTGATTCTTGCAATAGTGCCCTTCGCTGGCAGAGCCATCTGTATGGGCTGATTTTTGTGTCAGTAGAAACTGAATCTGAATTGCTCAACTTGAATAATTGCATCAGAAAACTGAATTTGAATTGCATAATTTGAATTTGTTTTGTTAAACTTGAATAACTGTATTGAAAAACTGAATCTGAATAGCATAATTTGAATTTGAATGTATTACCGACAGGACCCTCAGTGATGCTAACGTAGTTATTGTTTGTTAAATGTTTGTTAAATGATGAACATGAAACTTATAAGGTGAAGTTAATTTATTAAGCCAGCTGGTGCAGATGTCTCCATATTCTCCCCTGCTGATATTTTTATAGAGATTCACACAAAGTTTATACCGTGAATCACCAGTGTGTGTGTGTGTGTGTGTGTGTGTGTGTGTGTGTGTGCTGCTGTATGTAAATGTACTGGAGGTAAAGATAGAGCTACCGTGAGAGAGAAATAGTCAAACTGTGATCAAGCCTCCTTAGAAGCTAACGTTAATAAAATACAGGGAGTGAGTTATGATGATTATTGTTCATGATGCTTCATGTGTAACTTTATACTGACGTGCTGACGTTATCTCAGCTAGCGCTTTGTTGTTCTGCTTAGTTCAGGTGTGTGTGTGTGTGTGTGTGTGTGTGTGTGTGTGTGTGTGTTACGGTGTATAAATTAACTTGATCTACGTGCACCGGAGTTAACAATAGAGCTACTGTGAGAGAGAAATAGTCAAACTCACTGGAGCACCACCAGAGACACTGCTTTATTATTTTAGTTTATAATTTAGGACTACTTTGAGCCACAATGAACTGTTGTACTTGGATTATATTACACTGTATATTATATGCTGCTTTACAAGTAACACTGAATCTTCCATGTCTTACAGGTGACCTGATGAAGCTCAGGTGTTCCTGGACCCATCAGAGGACAGAGACAGCTGCAGCTTCAGGACAGTCTGTGTATCCAAAGGAAGACTGATGAAGATGAACACTGACTGCAGAGCTTCATTACCAGCTCACACTTCAGTATACTAGAAACCCTATACCTTGATGCAGACCATGATCTGCACAGTTTACATAAAAGTTATAGCTTTGTTACTTACAACATGTGTAACTGGAATATGAATGAAACATAAAGTGTTTTACTTTTAAGAAGACTTTTGGTCATTTTTAAATTCAGTAATAAGTGTGGTTTTATATAAATAACATGTTATTTCACTGAGGTTTTATGAAGATTTCCTGGATGTACAAGAGTTGAAAACCTGGTTCATGTAACATCTATCAATATGAAAATGTGGAATTTAAACCTGTATTAATGACTGTAAGCAACACAATACATTACTGTCTCACATTCAAACTTTATTATGTTGGAAGATAAATTACATCATAATATATCAAATAAAACGTAAAACATAATTGCAGCTTTTACAAATATTTGAAGGTTAACTTTGGTAATAATACTCTCAAGTTAAAATATCAGACTATGAAATATGGATACAGTACAGTATGGTACAAGTTACTTTATTAGATGAGTGATTCCTTCAGTTATGTTGACATGTTGTACAGGATAAAGTATCCAGGTTTCTGTTTCCATGGTCTCAGTAAACTAATGTGTATAAAGAATATAACAGATGGGAGGTTACAGTAATCATCATACTATTACTCTGATTACTTTGGTACATTCACTGGGTATTTCTTCACTAAAAACAGCTGCTTGACTAATGTTAATATTATGTAATATATTATATGTTTAACTTCACTGGGCTGTGTAGACTGTAGGTCACTGCTGTACCTGTAAAGACAAGCATAAAACACAGTGTTGGTTCTCATAGTTAAGGTATAAACACTAACATTATGTGATAGAGGTTTATATATATATATATAATTAATATAGCAGTAACACACACACACACACACACCTGAACTAAGCAGAACAACAAAGCTAACGCTAACTGAGATAACGTCAGCACGTCAGTATAAAGTTACACATGAAGCATCATGAACAATAATCATCATAACTCACTCCCTGTATTTTATTAACGTTAGCTTCTAAGGAGGCTTGATCACAGTTTGACTATTTCTCTCTCACGGTAGCTCTATCTTTACCTCTGGTACATTTACATACAGCAGCACACACACACACACACACACACTTGGTGATTCTCGGTATAAACTTTGTGTGAATCTCTATAAAAATATCAGCAGGGGAGAATATGGAGACATCTGCACCAGCTGGCTTAATACATTAACTTCACCTTATAGGTTTCATGTTCATCTTGCAAACATTTAACAAACATTTAACAAACAATAACTACGTTAGCATCACTGAGGCTCCTGTCGCTAACAACGGTTAATGTGCTAGCATTACACAAACAATGAAAAAAAGCATAAATTCTTACAAATACTTCCAGTTTCTTCCTCTGCTGTCTCTCCACAGACAGTTGGTACAGTCCCTCTTTCAGGAACAGTCTTTCAGCCAGTCCAGTGTTGTACTGACCGAGGTTGTGAAAACAGTCCGACACAAAGTGGTTCACACACACAACCAAAATAAAAAAAATACAATTATGAACCTGAAAGGGGGAATAATATGTCTCCTTTAAGCATGTTTTTCTCTAGCCAATGTCTACAGGTCCAGGAAATGGTCAAAATAAACATGCAGCTTAGCCAAAAAGGAGCTCTGTGCATCTGCACTCGATTGCTCTTACTGAACACCTTGACCCGTCTGTGACCTTAAAAAGTGTAATCTAGTGGTTTGAAATTGAGTTGAGATTACAACATTTGAATTTAGAGAGCTGAATTTGAATTTAGAGAGCTGAATTTGAAAGTACATAAAAAGTTGAATTTTTAGTGAGGCTCAAATTCAGTTTCAAACTAATACATTCAAATTCAAATTATGCAATTCAGATTCAGTTTTTCAATACAGTTATTCAAGTTTAACAATACAAATTCAAATGAATCAATTCAAATTCAGTTTTTTAATGCAATTATTCAAGTTGAGCAATTCAGATTCAGTTTCTACTGACACAAAAATCAGCCCATACCATCTGACTCCCCAAACACATGGCACAATGGCATGAAAGTACGACTAAAATTGTATTGTATGGCTTAGATTGTGATAATACAGGGAGATATTTCAGAGCATTTGTGAATATATAAAAATGTTTTTCATTGCTTTCCTTTTATAATGATTTTGAATGGACAAGGAAAAGACCTGCACTTTTGATTGTGGCCATATTTTCTGCACACTTATCTACTGCAAGCGTCTTTATTGAGTGCGGAGTAAAAGCGTAAACCTACACCCTCTACTGGTCATGTTTCTAACAGGAGTTTTCATTTAGCAGGCTTTCGCAGGTGTTTTTACCTGCTGGCAGTAAAGTAAAATATCCTTCTGGAAGGCCCCTGGCACTGTAAGCTCGACAAGTGTAGTTGATGTTGAAATCCTCCTCCCTCAGCTCAGAAATCATCAGCAGTCGCTCCATCCACACACCTTTAGGAGCAACCTCCTGACTCCACACTCTGGTGAGGATAGATAGATGAGAAGAAGAAAGGTAATGCAACAAAATGAGATGCTGCAGGAGTTCCCAATTCTTAATGCTTTATATTCGGGGGTTATAATTCTGTATATATCCCAAGAAACCTGTGAGCTCATACAAACTTTCAAACTCTTACAGCAGTAGACAAATCAAAACAAGAGGAAAGGTAAGGGTGCTGACCGTTCTTCTGATGTGTAGACACGATCAGAAGGATTGGTAGTGAAGATGAAATCGCCTTTGACCAACCAAATCATATCCACGAAGGGCATCCTCCCAACACACGGCACAAACACGAGGCACCGCTTGGTGAAATTGGATCCTAAACACACACACAAACAATAACACAAGTTATAATTAATGTAACTATGTCTCATATATACCAAAACAAAGTGGTGCCACTTAAATTAACTGAAACTTGACTGGTGTGTGCCTGAGTTAGTTTCAATGATAGACTTTAAATTTAATAGAATTTAAACTGCAAAACATAATATTTTTCAGAATATGTTTTAGATAAGGACTCACCGATCGCTGCCTTGATTATTTCATTGGCGGGTTCATGCACTTGTGGAACCAAATCGTACTCCTCTGAAAGACAGGCAACTTAAGATACAGTAACACAGACATATATTGTATATATAAATCAGACTGGCAACATGTCATCATGCCCCTAGCGCCAAGGTCCCGCCCCATTTGAAAGAAAAGCAAGAATAGCACTTTGACATATGTTAACATGAGAAACTACAGTGAATCTAGAAATAGCCACACCAATAAGAACAGCTTTCACTGTGTGATTTAAGACACATAATCCATACGTTGGATTCATTTTCACTGTGATAGATAATATGCTAAATGTTTCTTGTGAACTTCACTACTGATGGATAGCTAAAGTTAGCTTGACAGTTGCTAACAACTAACCTCAACATAGCAGCAGCAGTAAGCTAGCATGTCTCCAACTACATCTCAGCCCAGATCATACAGTTGGATGTTAACAGGTTGGTTGTTTACAGACACACTTAGCCTAATGCTGGATCAGCAATCTGGCCACTTCTTTTGGGCATTGATCCACTGGGACAGGGGAATTCTGAAGGAGCATGATGGCTGAGCAGCTGACCGATGGGTGACAGAACTATGTCGTGGACAAACAGCCTAATGTCCCTACCTCGCACACTCAAGTACTTATATTTGCTCTAACCTGTGACCCATGCTTCAATGGTCTCTGACACGGATCCCGTGATGCCACCGAGGGTGAAAGTCAGGGTGCAGGTATAGGAGCTGTTGTTTTGATCTTGCACCCCGTCAATCTTCAGTTTATTCCGGTCCATGTAGGAATACTTGCCTGTCTCATCCACTATGGGAACACAACCCTAGATGAGAAAAGGAAACATAAAAAGTCAAGCTTTTTATAAAACAAATACTATATTTATGATGGTAAACAAGCCACATAGGAGTAGCCAGGTGAGCAGAATTGTGTCTGGGAAGTACCCAAATTCAAACAACTCACCACCATACCGAGCAGACAAAGAAAAGACACCTACAGAAAGTTAAACTTTAACATAACATTATGTTACTTTTCTACCTTAAAGTAACAGCTTTATTATCATTTTGATGTTACACTGAGTTTTAATCAAGCAAATAGTCCCTCTGTCATTCCCACTCTGCGCCTGTTTTTGCACTATGTAACTTTTTGGGTCAGTACAAGTGCATTATGCTTTATGGCAGTAATCACAGACCACCAACTTTGTCACCGATGTTGGTCAAATATTTTAAAATGGAGGGCCACTGTATCTGACAAGTTGGGACTTAGGGTTAAGAAAGATTTGTGAAATTCACCAAGAATGGAGCGAAGCCTGCGAGCTAGTTCTGGCAGGTCAACTCGAGCTGCGCTGATTACACACATGACATGCCTCATTCCATAATCACTAACCAAGCGCTCCCCTCCAATCTGGCAGCCTATTTGTACAATTTTCCCAGGTCTCCCTCTGCTCTGTCAATGCCGTGTTTGCCCTGCATCCGTATTGCTTCTGCTGCTGCTGCTCTGTAAGCCCCACCACCACCCCAGCATCCACCTGTAGGCTCTGGGGGTTAAGGTATTTGCGCATCACTCCCCAATATCTCTATCTAAACATATCTGCGGGGAGTGATGAGGTCGGAGCCTAGACACCAAAATCTAAATATGCTGTACTGCTTAATAAACTTAATAACATTTTTATTAAGGTAACTTAAATTTATATCAACTTTTTCATAGTAAAATAACTTTTAATTTGCACAGATATTGTATCTTGTACCTACTGGATATAGTGAAGCCTTTTGCCTAATTTAAGAACCTACCAAATTGCCTTCTAGAATCCAGTGTATGGTGTACTGGACAGTGTTTTGGCGCAAACCCTGTTTAAACCTCACTGAGATCTGACCCAGCAAAACTACTCTAGAGCATCTGGAGTAAAGTCAATAGGTTAAGGAATATTTCATGACAGTGACAAGTCATTCTTATCACTTACTCTGTACCACTTGATGGAGGATGTGATGTTGTAGCTATCCAGTGTATTCATGAAGTCTTTCAGAGGGCAGGACAGTTTGTCAGTGACTCCCTTTGTAAGTGTTTGACGAGCTTTCACCGGCCTTCCACACTCTCCAGCAACTGTCTGATTCACCACCATCCTGGTTGCCTGCTTGTAGCACTGAGTAGGAGTTCTGTTGAAAATTAAGTAGAAAATTACCTTTTTTCATCATCAGTGTACAGCAGCTGAATCTAGAGCTTCTCAGTTTTAGGACTTTTGTGTTTGAAACAGAGGAAAAATGTTAAGTACCTACGGCATTGTGAAACTCAACTCAATGCAACTGTCAACTTTCAACTACTGATGCTATTGTACCTCACTATGCTGACATATTCCCCAGTGTCGTTCAGCGTTGCGTTAAGAAACCACAGAGTCTCCCCGCGCACCAGGATTCGACCAGTCTGGTTGCTCATTTCTTGGCCTGTCTTTGAGTCGTACCAGGTGATGTTGTAAGGGATAGCTGTGAAATTGAAGACCTCTGGAGACACCAGTGTGCTATTCAGCATAGCCATATCCCCAGGAACGGAGTAAACCCTCTCGAACTGGAGCTTGTAGTCGGTACACCTGTCTGTAACACACACATCAGTGGAGAATTGATAAGTCATTCATTCCACCATTCAACACTGATGGAGCTCTGAGCAAACCTGTCAGTGTCAAATCTGTGGTGTTTTCAGCAACAAGTTATTGTTTGGTGGGCTAGGCTCGGCAATTCTATTTATGTAGCAAATATCATTACAAGAAAACTCAATGTGCTTTAAACCTAACTTTAAAGTGACTGTAGAGGAAAGAGGTCTTTACTCATACTCAATACTTACATTTGTTCTCATGTGTATTTTTACTTTGAAAAAACAGTCATCACAATACTGTAAATATAAGTCAGCAAATGTTTCTTTTATATCTTTTCTGTCTTTCTGTCATATGTTAAGCACTTTAAATTGCCTTGATTTTGAAAGGTGCTACACAGACATGTTTGCCTTGCCTTTCCCTATTGTTGGACGTTCTTTTCCAGCGTTCAACAAGCAGCTTGGGGATTTAGAGCTGCCCCAGAGTACATCAGGCCTGACCAAGTATTTTTCCATGCTGCTCTATCTCACTGAGATGGATGCTTCCAATTCCATGCAAGCTGAAGCTAAAATTAGTTTGGCTTCCCATCCTACCACTATTAGTAAACAGAAGCTGCAATGAAGATTTCATTGGTGCATCATCACCATATATAATGTATGGTGCATAGGTTTTAGTAGTGATGCCAAGGTTAAATCTGAATAGGTAAAAATTCCTTGATATGTCTCACAGAAACAGGAAGCTGTCTATTTTCTATTGCTATCTTGTTACTGAACATGTATCCTGTCTGCTTCACATTTACATCTTGAGCTGCCCACTGTGACCACTATGTGCCATTAATGGTCACTGAGCTGTTGAGGACGTCAGGGCCTTTCTGAGTGATACTTTATTAAACTAGAATTACTCAGATTCTCTTTGTCCAGAGCAAGAGCAAGTCTGTTCTCAACCAATAAAGCTTAACACTGTAGTATTTAAGCTACAAAACCTTTCTGAGCCATTTTACTGCACCACAAAGAGTTAAACTTTGTTAGTTGGTCAGGTTCTAATCCCAGGTGAGCCACTTTAGCACTATAACCACTATATATGTTGCATCCGGTCAAGAATCATGTTTTTTGTTTTTGTTTTTGACTGTCCAGGATTAGAGCCAGCAACGTTCCTCCTGGTCAAAAGCCTGCTTCACTGACTTTTTTACTTAATTGAGCTCAACCAAAGAAGTTCCGGTGTGACTACAATAGTAGCCTGGCAGGCTTTTTTCCAAGACTAGTCGGAAATCAGTGTGAGACTGTCACAGACACCGAGGACTGACTGAACTATAAACAATGCTGGAGTTCCAACAGTGGCAACAAGAGGGCGACAAATGCTTGTGTACAGACTGGAGACCAATGATGAGAGTTAAACTCGGCAAAAACATATGAAAAGGAATACTTACAAAAACATCTAACATTTTATATTTGCAGATTTGTTTGAATAGCCGGAGAGCTAGTGTTTATGTAGAGAAATCTGCGTGACTCAGCTCACCCTGTACAAATCCTGTATGAATCCCATGCAGCCCGAGGAAAACCATAAGGCTCCCCAGTGTTAAACTCAGGTCCATGGCTGAAAAACACACACATAAAAAAAACAGTTAGAAATGAAATTAACATGAGAGGGTGAAAATGCAACAACAGCAGCCTGAAATCATAAAATCATGACAAACAGCTGACAGCTTACTGGAACACTTTTATCTAGTGACACGGACAGCTCACAAAAGGCTGTAAAACACAGCAATAATCAGCAAAAATAGTTTTCTTTCCCCTTTTAAGCCAAACTTTATTCTACCTCATTTTTCAAAAGTATGTCTGTCTTCCTCTCTGTGCGTCTTGCTTCTCCTTTTTCCAACCCTCTCTCTGCCTCTCTCCCTCAAACATAGATGACGATCGTTGTGGTATATCAGCAGTCATTTGTGTGTAAACCTCTGACAAAGTGCTGCGTAATGCTTTGGAACTGGAAGGATGCCCAGCATTCCTGAGCACTGATAATCACAAGTGTATGTACTTGGTATTGTGAATGAACACTGGTGTCTGGTGCAATTACTGCAGTTAGTGTGCTGGTTTGAGTCAGTCAAGTTTTTGGCATGACTCTAGTACAAAATCTGTGACACCGTATTGTAGTGGTTCTCAAACTGTGTGGCAGAGAGCCACTGCAGATGGCGTGCAGGGGGAAAATATGCAGTGAAACTAAGCTGAGGGAATGTGGTTTATGTAGGTAAAACAAACAAGAGTTTGCTGATACTGACCTTTTATTTCACAAAAAAATTATTTTGATCCTTTTTTATTAGTTACTACTTAAAATTGTGGGGTGGTGTAGCATTTAGTTTTTTGGCTTTTGAATGGGAGCAGGCCAGATAAAGTTTTAAGGACCGCTGGCATAGTGAAAACAGAAGGTTATATTTAGACTATACTGTGATTACATTTCCAGTAGTGCTAGATAGTATGGATGTATGAACTATGGTAGCTTTGGGTATTTTTCACCTATGGTGAGTGGTATCGGTTCCCGTTCCTCTTTATATTCTGTGTAGGTGTTTCTGTGATTTTTGTATTTTCAGTTAGTCTTAACCTGACTGATATGTCTGCAATAGGCCAACATAGGGTAACGGTATCAGCGAATATGTTGTCTGATATGTGCCGATATTAAAACTTTTTTCCCCCGGTATATAATGCAAAAAATGCTTTGTAATACATTGGGGGTCACTGCAAAGTTTATCCAGGAGAGTACGCTGTGATGTACATGCAGCACAGAGTAAGAGAGAAGAAGCAGCTTTTAACAGTGCTTATTAGTTGACAGTGATAAACTGACATGTTAAATAGTATTAATGTGAATATTCTTTATCAAAGTTATTTGTTTAAGAAAGCAGCCTTCTAAATACCTTTACATCGTCATATGGATCCACAAAGAAAAGGTCTATTTTTGTTAGAGCTCAAAAATGTAGTAATCAGTGAATTTTTCTCCTCTAAAAACAGTATCGGTCTCAAAAATCCCATATTGGTCGGGCTCTAGTTACTCTTGGTCCTCTGTCCAGTTACATTCACTGTTTTTAATGGGTGACTCCAGATCACATCACATTAACCCAGTTATTGCTGAAGTAAGGGTTAGGGTAACACTTATGCCAACGTGCATGCCCTTATGGTAAGGGTATCCTTTGATCTTTGCTATTACAAATGCAGTGCGACCTGTCGCACGACAATGTGAAGTCACGGGAGCGCCGTAAATATTTATACTTGCGCCGGTGGTCGCCACACTAGGTGCCGTCCTCTCCTGTCACGTTGTTTTCGTTTGAACAGGTAACCGGAGACTTACAAATGTTTATGGGGAAAGGAAAGTGTAACTGAGGACTTCCTTGCAAAGTGTTTTTGACAAATGTCCAATAAATGCAGTATGTTTCTGAAGTTTAAAAAAATAATCGTTTGAATAATTGTGATTTCAATTTTGACCCAAATAATCGTGATTATGATTTTTTCCATAATCGAGCAGCCCTAAAGGAAAGTTTAAAAGTGGCTGTCCCAGTCCCAGACAGTATGCTGGACAAATCTTGACAAAATAATTGAATAACCTTATAAAGAAAAGGTAAAAGGAACATAAACTCCTCCAATAGAACAAAGCTAACATGTCATGGTGAGCTTTCAAGAAAAAACTACATTCTCAAAACTTACTAGAATCACCAACTGGTCACTTTTGGTTGTTTGAACACCATTACCAGAAAGTATTAACCAACTTAAGCAATACTTTATGTCTAGTCACCTGTATGGACTGTAATTAAAATACATGAGTAAAGTTGTAAGCAGGCACAGATGTACGTGGGTGTGGACTGACTCAGTTAAACAGAACTGAACTTATCCTCATCTCCGCATTTGGCTGGCCAGTACTTTTCCCAATCCAAAACTTGTGGAAAACTTACTTGGCCCATTACATACAGAAATTACTTTAGAAAAGGGGAGGTAGGTGACTGACCCAAATAGGCCTGAGGATAGTTAGACAAAATGTGCAACCCTGAACTGACCCAGATAGAAAGAGAAAACCAGCAGAAGCAGCAGCATGAAGCTCCACTAATTATTTAGCAGCTGCAATCAAAACTAGAAAATTCCTAAAGAAATTTTGAGTGTGCCTGGCTCTGGCCTGTGACTCTGGCCCATACATTATTGACACTGCTGAGTAGTTTACAGTATATGAGACCTCTTGTTAACCATTGCTTAGGTATGTGACAGATCAAGTAAGAAGGACAGAGTTGAGAGGGCAGAGAGCAGACGGGGTCATCTATATTTTACTATATTTTCTGTTTATCGTATCCTCTCTCCTCTGTACTTCACTCACCATGACACACACATAATACACGGTTAATAAGCATTCTTACCTGTGTTTATTAACGTTCCACCAACCACCACATTTTAATAATGAATCATGTTTTTCCATCTATTCCCACGATCTTCTCCCACTCAAAGGCTGGTAACGAATTGATGCGACAAAGTCGGCCAAAAAGTTGGTATTTATGTGTTATATTGATGCCGAATTGACAAGGAGACTGTTGAGATAGGTTGAGTTTTTTTTTCTTGTTTCTACAGTTATGTGCTTTTATGTAAACGCAAATAATTGTTAATATATGGTATTTCTTAAATGGAGCTTGGCATATTATTGTCCTGGGATTATGCAGGAAGGGTCATGGTTTAATTAAAATTGCTAAAGTAACTAAATAAGTAATAACCACAATGATGGGAATAAGTATGTAGTAGTAGTAGTAGTAGTAGTAATAATAATAATAATAATAATAATAATAATAATAACAATAATACGTAATGGTATCAATAACACTGATAACAATAGTTATATTAATGAGTAAAATATAATTAAGAAAGAAAACTATTCTTAATGTGCAGTCATAAGCAGTGTAGATTGTTGAAACTTTTAGAAAATTGTCCACCAGACCCCTCTACCTGTTAACATACAATGAACGTTGTGACGTTGTAGACTTTTATTTTGAAACACCACCCTCAGCCCGAAAGCAATAGTGGAGTTACTACAGTCTGAGTGTCTTCTTCCTCACAAAACAAATCTAACTTGATGTTTCATTACATTACTGAATCTGTATTACTTGTGTCATGTGTAACAAGTTGAAATAGATGGCTAATTAAGAATTTCAGTGTCTTTTGTGACGTTTAATTAGCATAGTAATCCTTTGTCCTCTCTAGCTAGCCATTAGTAGTTATCTTTTGCTAGCACAATATTCATACTTTAATTTTTTTTATTAAGCGTACTATATTAATCAGCCTCTGTAGCTAGCTATTGGTGTGTTGTGTGTTGCGGCTTTGGTTGTCGTGGCAACCAGGGGGGGCCCAGCAGCCCCGGGGGCTCTCCCCCTCTCTTACTCCCCCGGGGGGGACCAAAAAAAAAAAAAAAAAGAGCGAGAAACACCATTTTTTTTTTCAAAAGGAAAACTCCGGGTTAATAGAGAAAAAAAAAAAAAATTAAGAAGGGGAAGAAGGAAAGAAAAGAGAAGAGGAGGGGGGAAGGGGAGGGGGGGGGTGGCGCACAAAAGCATTCCCCCCAAACAAATTTTTTTAAAAGATTAAAAAGAGTAATAATAAAAAACAACAATTTCTGTCTGTCACATTACAGTATACATGTACCTTGTCCTTTCTAGCAAGCACAAGCATATTAATTAATTAGCTAGCACCAGCATATTAATACCTTCTAATGAACTGTTTGGTGAAAAGCTTAGAAAAGTCATAGCACTAATGTCCTACTAATGTCCTACTAATGTTTTGATACCTTTTTTTGTGTATGTGCGACCAAAACTGCGGGAGGAGTAGTCGACCGAAATACGTACGGAAGAATAATAATAAGCACAGGGAATAATAGTAGTGTGCTTTCCAGGCACACTAACAAGAAACAATACATGTGATTTTCATACACTCAAAAATCTATGAAAACAAAGAAAAGAGATGTGTGTGTGAGGTGTGTGTGTGTGTGTGTGTGTGTGTGTGTGTGTGTGTGTGTGTGTGTGTGTGTGTGTTGAGAAAAAAAGGATTGCAAAAATGGTATCGGGGCAAAGTTAGTCTTTTATCAGCTACTGTATTAGTCTGGAAGAGTTTGATAAGTTAGTGAATAAGCCAGGGGGGGACCCTGAACATTTGTGAATTGGTTATCATGAATTTGGCCAGGTTTAAAGACAGTGATACACAAAATTAACTGAAATACCTGTATTGGCTGGGTACATTCAGAACCACAGCTTTCACCACATGTATATTATTCACAATTCTGTAACAAACATCAGCGATTCACCTGAGGTAGCTCTGAGTGACTGTTCCATATGTGCTTATGAAGCTGAAAGCAGTATATTTATTACTTATACCTGTATATAATTTGTGTATTTAACTTTTAACTTAACTTAAAGTTTTTTTTGTTTCACTGCGCTTTACCACCAAGTTAAATTCCTGTAGGGGAGAGTGGGGTAAGATGAGCCATTTTTCATATTTAGGATCACTACATCAAGGCAATCATAGTTTTGTCGCTAACTAATATATCTGCATATATTTCAGGATGTTGTGCATCCCTTCAAACAAACA